TTCTGGACTTTTCTTCAAATCTCTTTATTATAAGCAACAGAATGAAGCTCCTAATATTTAGTTTCCTAGAAAACAAACCATTGACTAGCCCTATCTACTTAGTTGCTTTGTGATGATACTTACAGTCTCTTCTTTTACATTTCAGCAGTGTGGACTTAGCAATCATTTGTATTAAAGTGCAAACAGCCACCATCCAATGACATATATGGATCTGTAGGGAGCATAGCTTGAAGTCTTTCTAATTTTAGCTTCTTTCAGTACATTAGAATTTTCTAGCATCAATCATCCAAGGAAAATCCTTTACACACCAAATTGTCACAAAAAGCAGCGTGCTGTTTTGTGTTTAGCTGGGATGATTTTGCACCCACAGTTTCCTGAAGCATGTGGAACACCATGAACCAGGTGTGCCCTGTTACCCAACTACAGTTGCTTTCTCCCAATAAAACATAAATGATACAAAAATGCCAACAGCATGTTTTCAGATGCATTTAAGTTAATAGTTCACATATTTGGGATACTGTGCTGTAGTTGGAAAGGACTTAATTCTTTTCCTAGTCACACTAAATTACTGCAGAAAGCATTAAGCTTATGTAAGCAGAATTAACATTATGGCTAAAATCACCAAGCAGCAGTCAGCTTTCAGTTTATCCTTTGCATACTCATAAACTCCTTTCCATCTGGCAGAAAAGATGATCAGCACATGCTAAAGAGCACTATTCCAAGGAACACACCAAAGGGCTGTGTTGTGAGCACAACCAGCCCCTATCCTGTTCTCTTTTTTGCTACACACTGAGCATAACCTCAATCACCAGCTGAAGACCAGGGGAGTGCATCATTCCCCTATGGGAGGTTTAGCATTCCTCACATTCCCTGACAGGGTTGCCAGATTATAACCTCTCAAGAAGATGGTTGCTGTATTTGTCTACCACACTCCCAAAAGTCCTGCGTTTTGCTCAAAGCTACTGCGGCAATGACTGACACCCCAATTCAGCTGCTGGTGAGATGGGGAACATTTTCCCCAGGAAGAGTAATCGGCTGCAGGAACATAAGAAATTATCAGATCAGTGGCTCACCTAACTTAGTAATCAGTCTTTCAAAGTGAACATGGGCAATGCAATTTAGAGAAAGCAAGTCTGTTGTATTCGATTTCTGCTGCCCCCCAGACCCCAGCATCCATGGCTCATTGGTTCAGGGATACTGGTGGACACATCCCAGGCTGTAGTATCCACTTATGAGCCTCCTGTTCCTGACATTGCCCAATACCTTGGGCCTGCTGATATTGCCAGTCTCCATAGTATCCTGTGACAATGAACAGAAGTTCCCAACTCACCATATAAAAGACTACTCTCTTTTATCTGTTTTAACCTCATCTACTCATTTCATTGTGCATACTAAAGGTGTATACTAATTTTCCTTATAGTATTGCAGGATTTTTTTGCTAACAATTCTGCTTTCATCTTATTCACTGCCTTTATGATTTTTGTAAATTCTTTGGCTTCTTCTTCAGTTTGAAGATTCTTCCCACACTCCTCATGTTTTTTTCACTGTACCTCTTCTTCTGGCATTACATCTTTCCTAAGATGCAGAAAACAGACTGTACCAAGTGCTCAAGATGCCAACTCATCAAGGCTTTATATGGCAGCAAGGTCGTGCTGTCCTCCTGTTGGTGCCCAGCATTTTCCTGGGTCTTGGCCACCGCTGCATGCAGAGCTGATGATTTTTGTAAGGGGGGGGGTCCAAGCTCCTTCCGTCACCTGGACCTGTCAGCTCTGAGCTCAGGACTGCCTGCAAGTTTAAGAACCGCAAGGACAGAGAGCACAGTTTCCTCATCAATCCCTTCCCAACAAATGCAACTTTAGATGTATCCTAAACAAACAAAAAAAAATGTACCCACCCAGCACATTCAGGAAAACTCCACAAATTTTTCATCTATATTATTTGTTTAGTCATTGTTCAAGCTCTCTCAGTGTGAGTTCTCAGCTTGAAAAGCCTTCTTGATGAGAGTTAAACATAAACTTGTAGTTTCTTTGGAGATTGTTTTGCCTGTGAAGCTATGGGCTACTTTGGCAACAAGCATTCCTCATCCTCTCCCTTCCTCTATAAAGAGTTTTTATAAATCTCATAAAAAGAAATTGGACAAGGGACTGAAATCCAAGCTCAGTGAACTTCTAACCAACAGTTACAGCTTGAATATGGATTAATTTTCTCTGCCTCTCTGGCTCGTTGAATACAGATGTACCCATGAAGACTGCCAAGGCTTCAGTAGAAGGGACTGGGACATCTCTTCCCTTCAATGAGAATCGTGTGTCGTTGTGGTTGGGCTTTTTCAGCAGGAACACAAAGCAAAGTGAAGGGCTTTGCACAGCCTACAACTCTAACAATGGAGAAAAGTTAACTTTACAGATCTTAGCACAGCTTGCTAGGGTTAAATTAATGCTTTTGCACCCAAAGAACAGATATGATGGAAAAAGTATTTATTTAAAATGCTGTACAATGGGAATCTCAATCATTTTCAAAAGCCAGCTGAGGGAGAAGTGACTCACATAGCTTGTATAAAGGAAGCCTCTTTACAGCTTTCAGTGCTGAATTTTTTGTCTCTGGAAACATCAGCTGTGTGAGTGTAGACACCTGCTCAGTGCCATCAATGTCTTTGGCAGTATATAAACATGGAGGAAGACATGGTTCCTGCCCTGAGGAGCTTACAATCTAAAACGTGACAAGGAGAATATTATTCCAACATATAACAGTTGACAGAAATCTCATCAGTCAGATATAAGAAGACCCATTTTAACAAGTAATTTGAATACCAAATACATATATAAAGTCTACAGGTAGGACAGAGTGGTGTATTTGTTGTGTTGTGTATTTATATATTGATACATCTACAGGTAGGAAAGGTAGTGATGGTTTGCTTCAAAGAGTGATTTTATTTTCTTTGGTGGGGCTGCTCCAGCTTCTGCTTCCTGAAAAAAAATAAAGAAAATTAGATTAGCACTCCTGTGATTTTGCAAATTGGATTTTAGGACAAAAGTCTTCACAGAAAGAATGGTGAGGTATTGGAACAGGCTGCCCAGGGAGGTAGTAGAGGCACCATTCCTGGAGGCATTAAAGGAACTGGTAGACGTGGTGCTTCAAGAGATGGTTTAGTGGTTAGGGGTTGTAGGCAGATGGTTGGACTTAATGATCTTGAAGGTCTCTTCCAACCTGGATGATGATTCTATGATTCTATGATGCAACACATTTGAACACTGGACAACACTGGGGTGAACTAATTCCCATGCAACAGAGGAACTCAGATTTGGGAAAGGTAGCATGAAAGAAGTGATGGGTTTTCTGTCCTTTTGAGACATTGAATCTACACATCATAGTACAGCTGGTGAAACTATAGCAAGTACCTTGGAGGCAGAGGTAGCTGGGAATCCTGCTTCTTCTAGGGAGTACATACCTCACTCTGTATCTGCAAGTGGGAGGGAGTCCTGACACCCAGGGCACAATCTGCTGGAAATTCCAGCTTTCTTGTAGGTTAACAGTGATTGTCTCATCTTTATTTCCATTCAGAGAAGAGACATTAGGAGGAAGAAGAAAACCTGAAAATTAAACTTGAAGCCACATGCTGAAAAAACTTGAGCAATGCTGGATACTCATACATCTCATACTCACTCAGTCACAAATTCTGCCTCCCAGATTCTTCCCATTTTGAGATTTTCAAGTCACATTTGGCCTGGTTTCTAAGGCAATCAGAGTAACTTTATAGAGTGTTGTATTTCTGGTCAGGGTCCTCCCTCTCCTCCATTTCAACTACGTTTGAGAGAGGGCTTAATTTCAGATATGAAGATCCTAACATTTTCAATTAAAGCAGTAAGAGTAGCTTAGTAAGCTGAGTAAGAGAGCAGAGGAACAAATTCTTATCACAGATGAAAGAGAAGCTGCACCGAATCTAACAGTTAAGTGCAGTTTTGGCCCATCCATTGGCACTTTGTGCATATATCACAGAATCACAGAATCATAGGGGGTTGGAAGGGACCTCGAAAGATCATCTAGTCCAACCCCCCTGCCAGGCAGGGTCACCTAGAGCACATGACACAGGAACGTGTCCAGGTGGGTGTTGAATGTCCCCAGTGAAGGAGACTCCACAGCCTCTCTGGGCAGCTTGTTCCAGGGCTTTGTCACTCTCACAGCAAATAATTTTTTTCTGATATTTACATGGAACCTCCTATGCTCCAGTTTGCACCCATTGCCCCTTGTCCTATCACTGAACATCACTGAACAAAGCCTGGCTCCATCACCCTGACACTCCCCCTTAACATATTTGTAAACATTGATGGTCACCCCTCAGTCTCCTCCAAGCTAAAGCGACCCAGCTCCCTCAGCCTTTCCTCATCAGGGAGATGTTCCACTCCCTTCATCATTTTTGTGGCTCTGTGCTGGGCTCTTTCAAACAGTTCCCTGTCCTCCTGGAACTGAGGGGCCTAGAATTGGACACAATATTCCAGATGCAGCCTCACCAAGGCAGAACAGAGGGGGAGAAGAACCTCCCTTGACCTACTAACCACACTGACCCCTCAAGCAGTGCACACCTAACAATCTGCTCTTTGCATTGCTCATACTTAGGGAACATGGCAGAGGTAGGGGGTATCATAGGAAGATGCTAAGGAATATACCCAAAGCAGGTATCAGAAGCCTGGCAGGGAGCTGAAGGTTGTAAGAGCAATGGGAGATGGATCAAAGGGCCTGCAGTATTTGGTGGGTATTAGGGATCAGAGAGATGGGTGGGTGAAAAATTCAGAGTCATCAGTGCCACAGAAATGGAGAATACAAACAGTTTTGTTAAGGGCAATAGTTCCAATGAATCATTATGTGTCAAATGCAAATTATATTTTTTTGGGGTTGTTACATTCTTTCCATTCTTGTCACTGCATGTAACAATAGCATGGGCAAAATTTAAAGTTTATGTTACTTCAAGAATATTTAGAAACTGTGCTGAATGTCTTAATAATTACCTGAAAACCTGCTCAAGAAAGAATGTGTAGTAGAGGAGTGTACTAAGACTCTTCTTCTTCCTTCACCTCTTCCTTTTCTTCTCCCTCTTCCTGCTTTTCTTCTCCTTCTTCCTGATTTTCTTCTCCCTCTTCCTGCTTTTCTTCTCCCTCTTCTTGCTTTTCTTCTTTCTTTTTTATAGAAAATCATTGTAGTTATCAGGTAGGAATTGAATTTAAAAGAAACAGTCTTGAAATGCAGAGTTCTGCTTTTGAAACTGTTCTGTTTCTAGCAAATGCAATATTATTTGGGCTTAAAAATAGAACAGAGAAGTACTGTATAGAGATTTTATTCTTAATATGCCAGAGCTCTAGCTTAGTGGAGTTAATAGGCAAGTGCTGGAATAGAAGAACTCTCTTCTTAGAGGGGTTAAAACAGTACATGGCTAAGTTGCACATAGATGTTCAAGGTCAAAATGAGAATTTAAAGATACGTAAATATGACAAAAAGTTTAGTATTTAAAATTATTTGCTTTCTTGGAGCAGCAAACAAGTTAAGATTCATGGCACAGGAACTAGCCTTATGAATAATCTAGAAATCATTCTGAGTAATGTCACAGCCTTGTGTCTGTTTCAAAAGTTCTTATATCTCTGTTTTCTATAGGAGAAATGGCACAATTTAATACTAACAGCCCTTTGCCTCAGTCAACAAACTCAACAGTTATCTGAAAGCTAGCATTTATGTAACATAGGCAACAATTTGTTTTGGTTTTATTGCCTTTAGAGAGCTAGTACAAGTTCTGATGTACAGTCCTACTCTGAAAAACAACTGAACATTGCATTGTAGGCTTCTCTGCTCCTTCTCTTCTAGCAAACTCTTGTTCCAAGGCACCTCTTTAAGCTTTATCCCAACATGTCATACCTTCATATAGTGCCTAGACTGTAAAAAATAAGGGAATTTGTTCCTAGTGTAATCAACCATTCAAAGAATACATTATCAGCTTTCAGTTGGGATTGCAGGTAGCGTGTGAGCAGCACAGATGTTAGATTTTCCTCTCAGACACACATGGTCTGTACAAGAGTTGCATCTGAGTCACTGAAGGAAAATCCTGTTTGAATATGTGCTTGGGAATTGACCTGTTGTAATCAGATTCCTGGTCTGAATCACTGTTTTTCAGGGAAAACCATTGCACTAAGTGATCATCCCTGCAAAACCATAAATTTAACATGAATGTCCACACAGGCCAGCTTGCTTAGAAGTTCTGGTGCCAAAGGAATACTGCCTCTTTCAGCATCTTTCCATAGGGAATGTCCCTTCCATTAGCACTTTGTGAAACAGGGCCAGGCAAGCCTGCAGACAAACATCTTTTAGTTATTAACATCTTCCATTAAAAATTAAAGTAAATTAACTATTACAGAAAATCAAATGGCATTCTTCTGGCTTAAAGTACTAGTTAGGGGTGCCAGAGTGCACTAACCAGCTGTAACAGCCCTTGCCAGCCTCACCAGGAGGCCCCACACTTTGCCTACAGGCCCAAGAACTCCACTTGAGCTTTCAGGTCCACAATGTACAACTCTCATGCATCAGCAGGCATGTGCGTGTACACACGTATATACACATGCATTGCAGTTGGGAAGATGTGAATGTGTCCTCTTACTAATTGCAGGTTTGTAGTGGATAATAGACTAAAGTAATAATTAGCTTTACTGGAAACACTGAAGAAAGATTGAAGGCATAAACTTGCAATGCTGGGCAAAGCAGAAGAGTGAATAAGGATCTGCACCTGGATCTTACAAATTCTGGAAAGGAAAATATTTCCTTTATAGGAAGAAGTGCCTGAATTTTCAGAATTCCTCTTTCACATTCACAACACTGAAAATGTAATCAGCATGGTGTCAGTTAGCGATTGTCAAAGATATTGTTGTCTTGAGAGTCCTTGGCAAATGTTATTAAAGAATCTGTGAAAGACAATTTCTATTGCATTTAGAGTTTCAAGCTTTCAAGACCTATCTTTGTTCCCAAAAATAAGAATATGATACGGTCAATAATTATCTCTAGCAGAATATAACACTAGTATATTTATTTTCAAGAATTAGAATTTACTGACTTCTGAGAGGCTGAGACTGAGAAGGAATTAAAAGCACACAAAACAAAAGATGTAAGCAAAATGTCCAAATATACTTTACCTCTGATGCTGTATGTTCTTCCTTGTTTTCCTATATAAGGCATACAAAAGAAAATGTTTAAAATATAGGTCAAATAAAGAATATCAGAGGTCATACAGGCAAAGCACAGCAGAAATTAAACTCTGAATTTAGGAAAATAATGATAAATTTGGTGGATTTCTTTTGAGATGCCCTCCAGATTAACTCACAAATCACATTTAAGATAAGCTTTTACTTTGAAAAAAGGCTTTAAAATGATTAAATACAGCTCCCTTTTTCTCAGTTGCTACCAATCAAATCTGCTTCGTTGAGAAGCACAGCATTAGAGATGTTATGTTCAGGTCTTAAGTTGGATTTTTGGTGTAATTAGCTGGTTGCAAAATGAAAGTTAAATCAGAATTATACAGAGTCTTATCTATGTTCTAGATCATCACTCAGATCTGGCTTGCAATTCTGTTAACTGTTGTAGGCAGGACCAGATGTCTTGGCTCCATGGTACTGAGGAATAAGACATAATACAAGCTGGTTTTAGATTAAAGATTGAGCAAAAATTATGAAGAGAAGAGAGGAAAAAAAGAGAAAAATATATAATTGTACACTGAATAGAATTTAATGTTTGATACCAAGCTGGTTATTGGAAGAAAGATCTCATCTTGCACAAGATCAGAAAGAAAAATGGTATGTTGAGTAGTACCATGCAGAAGGCATGAGCAGTTGATACAAGTTTGCACAGAATGAGCTGAGATAAGGAAGTGAGCTGCAGTGCCAGGTTTTATATATGGCCTGGGAAATTGCTGAGACAGGATATAGACTTTCATTATAATAAATTTTTTCACGTTTCTAAAATAATTCTGCCTTGAAGCAAGCCTAACCTATACTGCAAAGTGATTTAACTGAGACACCACTTAAAAAATACTCTAACTCCCAAGCGAAAATCTGAAGTTAAAATCAGATTATAGAAATAAAAACAAATTATTACCATCACATCTAGAAACCAGCAGAGCCCTTGCTGTGCCACATGCATAGGAGACCACAGCCTTCCTCAAAAATCTCAGAAACAGTCATAAACAAAGCAAGTAAAAGGGACATTATATCTAAACAAAAGGGTTCCTCAGCCTTCTCTATGAGATTATGGGGATTAGTAATGACAAAAAAGATTAGGAAGAAGTCAAGGATAAGCTTCATGAAGTGATTAGGGAAGGAAAGTATGCAACAGGCATAAGGTGAAAAAAAAAAATCCATAATCTAAAGGAATCCCGGTACAGCTGACCCTTGGTGTCCCAGGATGAAAGCTATTACTGCTACTTACTACTTGATCTGTGTAAGGGACTTTTTACTTCAACATCTGCTCTAGTCTTTCCTGGAAATTTCTGTGAATGAAGGGCTGAAGCTGCTGAAGCCTAGGCAGTCTAACATGAGGCATGTGAAGAACAACCTGTTGCACTGTGGACTTAACCCTCCCACTTTCAGGAGGCAACTGCCAATGTCAAGAGTTTTGTTTTTCAAAGGGCTGGGGTCTCTCACTGGTTTTCTCAGAGTCGTAGCAGCCTGACACAAAAATTTGGAGCTTCTGGACTCCCACATTTCCCAGCAAGGGTGGCAGAAGCAGTAGGGGAGGATTGCAGCCTGCACACATACCCACATGCACTATCAGCTGACATTCCTGTTACTGAGGCATTGAAGGAATCTTCTGAAATCTCCATGCAGCTTCACAACTGAGACAGTCTCCATTTATTTTGTTTCTTCTTTATGCTCACTGGCAAAGACAGATACCTTTACCTCGCCAAGACTCTTCTAGAATTTTTCCATAACACTGACATTTCTCCTGCAAAGTCACTGGAGAAAAGCTGGCTGGGTTACACCCTGCATGAGAGAGTTGTTTTAAAGCTGGCTTGAAACTGAGTTCTGAATAAGGCCAAAACACCAATACTAGATTCCCACTGGTATATGAATTCAGAAACAGAACATAGAACTCTGATTTTTTTCAGTTTTGGCATTCTGATTGGAGGATTTGTCAAAAGATCGAGCTAACACTCCAAAAGGGACCTGACTGCTCTTCGAAAAATGCAACTGTTGGCTGCAAAATGTAATGGGCAGCTGACAAAAAGCTCACTCTTTAAGAGCTCAGTATACAGAGAGCAGGTATTAATAAGGTAAAAGAAAAAAAAAAAAAAGACATGGGTGCGGTGAGCACACAGAAGACACCTTCTATTCAGTGTGGCCAGGCAGTCAAACAAGTTGTGCTGGGCTGCAGAATGAGAGGAAGAGGAAAAAATACTGAAAATATGGTGTTGTTACTACATGTCTCCTTTAGGACCTAACATTCAATGGCAATCTGGCAGTCTTTAAATGTATTTAACTTCATAAAATCCTGAGCAGGTAAGGAAATGTTATTCTAGCTTTCTTTTGTAAGTGAAAAATGAGATAGAGACAAAAGGCAGAATTCATCTCAGTGTAGCTGCCTCAAACTTACTCTTCTTGTCTAAACTCATCCTCTGTTTACTGCTCATAATGAATGTGAATACCAGAATTTCTACCGAGCAATTCATGCCATCCCAACAGAGGTAACTGGCACGAAATGTAGCAAGGTGGACAGATGCTACATCACTGAAGTGATTTGTGCTAGATAACATGGGAATTGGGTGGTGGAACAAGGTGAAAAATGAGTTTTGTGCATTCACACCAGGAACTCCTGGTACCTTGTTGCGTGCAGTGGTGAGTACCCTCTCTAAAACCAAGTGAGAAAGGAACAGAAGCATTGCTTTTTCTTCTCCTAAGAGCCAGTATACACCTCTTCCTCCTTAGGTAAGGCCCTGTAAGAACATTTCAATGCTGCCAAGGCTGCGCAGGTGAATGGGGAGGATTTGTTAAGACTAGTCATATTTTATGCCCTCATAACCACAGAAGTTCAAACACACTGTCTTGCCTAGTGCTCTCTCCTCTGCCAACCTCCTTCCTACAAAACTAAAAGGGAATACATTTTCCACTTGCAGATCCAATTAATTCTGTGAGAAATGGAGCAAGGTGCTCGTTGTATAGGAGTGGCATTGCATTATGTCATTACAAAACCTTTCATACACAGCTGCTTGACACATTTGCAGACACGTTCCAGCATTCTGTTCTCATTTGAAAAACATTAGACTAGACTGCCAGCCAGAATGGCAAGTAACCTAATCCAGCCAGGGGATGCATTACAGTTTTATGCTGGGCTTCTCTTAAGAGCCAACAATCAAGGTATTTGATGGCACTAATGTGACAGATGAAATTCATAGGAACATGAAAATTGCTTGGATATAATTTAAGGACAAATTTCAGTTCTCACTGGGGACTGTTTCTCCTCATTGCCATTTTTAAATTTTAAATAGAACTTCCCAGTGCCTGAGAATTGCATGAGGCTGTGTAAAAGGGTGCTTTTCCAGTCTAACAATGATTGCTTCAGTCATTGTTAAAAAGGGCAATGGGGAAAGGCTTACAGAGAGGTGCTTCCCCTGGAAAAAAACACTGCAGGTAGCTGGAAAAAAGAAATACAACAACAACAACAAAGCAAACAAAAAACCTCCAAACAAACAAGAACAAACAAACCTCCCCCCCACAAAACCCAAAACAAAACATAGTTGTTTTGGTCTTGAGTAAGAAGATGATATATTTGTGACAGATAATCCACTGAGACTGCCTGATCTCCAAACCACAAAAAAAACCAAGTGTAAGCGCTGGACCCAGCAGTAGGCCTTCCTGTTTCAGAAGAGAGTCACCTGACACTGCAACATCCAAGTAAACCCATCCTTAAATGCCAAACTGTCAGAGCAGCAGTAGAAATAAATCAGCTGGATCTCTGTCTGCAGATACAGGATCCATTTCTGCTCAGTCTACACTGAGGAAGACACCAGCACACAAGAGGATGGTCCCTTTTTGAGGGATTCATCTACATTTCAACCACAAGAACTTGAATGTTAGCTAACTCCTGGATATTATAGCAGGGAATTAAAGGAACTCAGATGGCTTCTTTAGCACTGTGGTTTGAGATCTGCCCATGTGACTGTAATATCAGACCATGATGCAGGCAGAAACGATAACAACAGTCTCCACGGAGACATTTGAGGTCAGGCTTGATGGGGCTCTGAGCAATTTAGTCTAGTTGGAGATGTCTCTACTTATCATAGGCGGGTTGGACTAGAAGACCTTTAGAAATCTCTTCCAACCCAATACATTCTATGATTCTGTAATTCCATTTCTGCACTGCCCAGGGATTTCTGCATGGCCTAGAGAAGTCACTGTCAGATCTAGCTTGCTTCAATAACAGTAAATGCTGGTACATAACAACAAACATTAACAATTAGATTTACAAGCACTGTAGAGGCTGGCCACTGATAGCAGCAAATTTTTATACCAGGTAGGAGTCAGATGTCTACTCCTAAATTATTCTCCATAACTAGTGTGTCTGGTTCCAAATTAGCATAAAAAAAAATAATTAAAAAAAATCTCATGGTAGCAAGTAGCAAAAGGGAACTGTTAAATAGACACATGCTGTTAGTCACGATTCAGAGCAAAGTTCCCTGGAGTTTTATCTAGGTTTCATATCAACATGATGTCAAAGAAAATACACCCAAAAGACAAACAGGACCACTCTGCTCTCAGTCTTCTCACTCTGAGGCACACTAGGAAGGCCTTTGTGTTTATATTTCAGGCACTAAACACAGGTAAAACCTTAATTTCACAAAGGGAAAAAGATAACCTGCTGATCTTCTGATGGTGACTGAGCAGACTGAGCCTCTTCATTAGTTCCTTCATCTGCCTTGTCTTCTGGGTGTGCCTCAGTTTCCCCCATGGCCTCAGATTTTTCAGACTCCTGGCAGAAAAGAAAAAGTCTTTGTTAGCTTCAGGGCATATAACCAGTAATGCATTTATGTAAAACTCTTGCATTTACAGTCTTTGCAGGTGTTTTCCTAACTACAGAAGTCAAATGAAAATTTACTCTTTGGTAACTTTCCTGTGAAAGGGATACTTGTTGATGTGCTGATCGGTTGGTAAAGTCATGAGGTTAGTGTGGGAAAAATATTAATTCAAGCACTTCTTCCTCTTCAGAGCATAGTGGATTCTCTAACTTTTCTGTGAAAGTTCGAGTGAAGCCAATGCTCACCTTGATGAGCTTCAGTCTAGCTTCAGAAGGACCCAGCAGTAGGCCTTCCTGTTTCAGAAGAGAGTCACCTGACACTGCAACATCCAAGTAAACCCATCCTTAAATGCCAAACTGTCAGAGCAGCAGTAGAAATAAATCAGCTGGATCTCTGTCTGCAGATATAGGATCCATTTCTGCTCAGTCTACACTGAGGAAGACACCAGCACACAAGAGGATGGTCCCTTTTTGAGGGATTCATCTACATTTCAACCACAAGAACTTGAATGTTAGCTAACTCCTGGATATTATAGCAGGGAATTAAAGGAACTCAGATGGCTTCTTTAGCACTGTGGTTTGAGATCTGCCCATGTGACTGTAATATCAGACCATGATGCAGGCAGAAACGATAACAACAGTCTCCACGGAGACATTTGAGGTCAGGCTTGATGGGGCTCTGAGCAATTTAGTCTAGTTGGAGATGTCTCTACTTATCATAGGCGGGTTGGACTAGAAGACCTTTAGAAATCTCTTCCAACCCAATACATTCTATGATTCTGTAATTCCATTTCTGCACTGCCCAGGGATTTCTGCATGGCCTAGAGAAGTCACTGTCAGATCTAGCTTGCTTCAATAACAGTAAATGCTGGTACATAACAACAAACATTAACAATTAGATTTACAAGCACTGTAGAGGCTGGCCACTGATAGCAGCAAATTTTTATACCAGGTAGGAGTCAGATGTCTACTCCTAAATTATTCTCCATAACTAGTGTGTCTGGTTCCAAATTAGCATAAAAAAAAATAATTAAAAAAAATCTCATGGTAGCAAGTAGCAAAAGGGAACTGTTAAATAGACACATGCTGTTAGTCACGATTCAGAGCAAAGTTCCCTGGAGTTTTATCTAGGTTTCATATCAACATGATGTCAAAGAAAATACACCCAAAAGACAAACAGGACCACTCTGCTCTCAGTCTTCTCACTCTGAGGCACACTAGGAAGGCCTTTGTGTTTATATTTCAGGCACTAAACACAGGTAAAACCTTAATTTCACAAAGGGAAAAAGATAACCTGCTGATCTTCTGATGGTGACTGAGCAGACTGAGCCTCTTCATTAGTTCCTTCATCTGCCTTGTCTTCTGGGTGTGCCTCAGTTTCCCCCATGGCCTCAGATTTTTCAGACTCCTGGCAGAAAAGAAAAAGTCTTTGTTAGCTTCAGGGCATATAACCAGTAATGCATTTATGTAAAACTCTTGCATTTACAGTCTTTGCAGGTGTTTTCCTAACTACAGAAGTCAAATGAAAATTTACTCTTTGGTAACTTTCCTGTGAAAGGGATACTTGTTGATGTGCTGATCGGTTGGTAAAGTCATGAGGTTAGTGTGGGAAAAATATTAATTCAAGCACTTCTTCCTCTTCAGAGCATAGTGGATTCTCTAACTTTTCTGTGAAAGTTCGAGTGAAGCCAATGCTCACCTTGATGAGCTTCAGTCTAGCTTCAGAAAAAAAAAAAAAAAAAAAAAAAAGCCTTTTTCACCGGCATACATTCCAGTTAAACTTCATAAAGAAGTTAGAGAAAAGCAAAATAAGGGATTTCATATATAGTCTCATAACTTTCTTGCTTAAAATCACCAGGAAACTGTTCCTCAATTCACACACCAATCTATCGAATCTATTTATTCCAGCACAGTCAACGAGGACCTTCTAGAAGGCTCTTTTTAAGTCTTGCTGTACCTTCAGCTAGGTAGCTGTGAAAGGCCACCCCGGATCACACACTTTGTCAGATAATAGGAGACCTGTACGGCTTTGAGTGGAACAACAGAAACAGGATGAAATGCAGTAGCATGAAGTGCAAAGGCACATTATGTGGGACAGGTAGTTCTGGGACAGAGATTAGAAACAGATGTTTCTACTGCACTTTGGGAGATTATTAGTTGATGATCATCAAATAAGAAAATTATGGATTTATTTAAATAATCACAGAATAACTGAGTCATAAATGTGATGCGATAGTGAAAGAGGTAATAAATGGGATCCTTGGATGTGTGAGGTGAGGTATAGCTGGTGAAGCTGAGAGCAAATATTAATGTCACTATATAAGGCCAAGCCAAAGCCTCGTCTGGATCACTCTGTACTCTTCCAGTCACTCAGGCTCAAGAAAGAGAAATTCAGACTGGAACAGGTGCAGAGGGGGGATCCAGGAATATTTGAGGGAGCGGAGAGACTATCTTATGAAAGGGTGACAAAAAAGGTTTCATTACTTTAATCTATTGAAAGTAATGCTGTGAGGGGATACGATGGCTCTCTAAAAATAGATCAGAGTAAACATCAGGGAGAGGGATGGGATAAGGAACAGCACGGAGGTAGATGCAGAATTAATACAAACTGACTGGAAATAAAAATTCTAAACATCAGCAGTGTGAAATTTTGGAAGAACTTCTAGTATTTCATTAAAAGGGAATTTTCACTGCCTCTGAGACGTGTCATCTGGTGTGGTTGCCTTCAACAACAGAAAATTACGCTCAGGGGAGGTCCTATCCTGTGTCATCCTAAGTCCTAAATGCTTTGGTCAGAGTAGCGTGTCCCTGTGCCCTAGTTTCAGCTGGGATGGAGCTGATTTTCCTCATAATAGCCAGAATACTGCTATGCTTTGGATTTAGTGTAGGAATGGGTATGAGAAGAACGCTGATTGCAGACTGATGCTTTTAGTTGCTGCTAAGAAATCAAGGACTTTTCAGCTTCACAGATTTTGCTGTGTGTGGGTACACAAGAAGTTGGGAGGACAGCTGATCCCAGCTGACCAAAGTGATATCCTATACCATGTGACATCACGCTCAGCGTATAAAGCTGCAGGGAAAAAGAAAGAAGGGAGAGACATTTGGCGTGATGATGTTTGTCTTCCCAAGTAACCACATGATGGAGCCCTGCTGTCCTGGGGATGGCTGAACACCTGCCTGCCTATGGGAAGAAGTGAATGAATTCCTTGGCTTGCTTTACTTGTCTGCATGGCTTTTGCTTTACCTAGTAAACACTTTTTATATCCATCCACAAATTTTCCCACTTTTACTCTTCTGATTCCCTACCCAAATCTACCTGCAGGGAGTGAACAAGCATCTGTGTGGTGCTTAGTTGCCAAGTGGGGTTAAACCATGACATCCTGTTAGAAGATGAGCTCCTTTCTCACCACTGTGACTAAGTCCTTAAAATCATTTGCCTGGTTGGTTTGGGTTTTTCTGCTTTTTCATAATTTAATTTGTTTCTACAGTTAAACAAAAGCCCCCACTCATGATCCCCTTGCTTTTGAGTTTCACAAGTCCTGCTCAAGTCTCCTCAGCATATGTGATTTCTTCAGCCACCCTACTTAGCCTGCAGAAGTGTGAAACTACCATAGATATCTGACTTTTAGCCCCAGATAGCAGATATTGGTGAGTGCAGACTTAGGGATCTCTGTCCAATGATGTGATATTCAACATAATATATGCCCTCCTGCTGAGATGCTCTGCTGGATGGGGACTAAAATTGAAAGAAATGAGATTGAGAATGTTTGGAAGAGGATATCATGACAGAGTGAAGATGGACAAAATCCTTTTGCAGTTTTATCTTTTTCCCGAAACTTCATAATCTGTAAGATTTGGTGTCCTTTTGGCAACTTTCTCCTGAATAATGGAAAATACATTTTAAGTGTAAGGAGCTTGTAATGAAAAGGTACATCGGAGGTACATCGGTTCATTAGTTCCTCTTCTTCTCCCCAGAGAATAATAACAGCAAAAAATCTCAGCAGCAAGCATCGACTTCCCAGCAGTCCTTCCCAGCCCTGCACTGCCCCTGCCCTCCTGGAAGCAAAAGCCTTTGCTGGGCTGGTTGGTGAACTGGAGCAGGAGGCTGATCAAAATAAAAGCTTTAAAAAGAAAAACATTTCTATCTCACACAACTTGCACACTCTGTTACACAGCTGTGTGAATATTTTTGCCAGCATGTGAGGGATGCTTGGGGAGAGGAATGAGTGGCTGGGAGTAAGCAGAAGGAGCCAAAGGAAGGTGAAAAGACTTATTTTTCTGGCAATGCTGCCTCATTTCAACTACACACAGTGGGTTCACTGCACCTGATGCTGGTAGCAGTGTTATTAAAAGCAGAACTACAGAGACAGTTGTTTGGCTTAATTTATATCTTGCTTTTCTTCCACAAACTAACAAAATATTTGAAGATTAAAATATGTAGTAACACAGACATAGATTGAAATTGTCTTGTGCATCATTATGTTTATACACTTTTCTCAAGCCAACGATAACTTCCCTACAGATACTACCCTTGTAGCAATTCCTGAAATGAAAATGATAGTGTTCATGAAAGCTAAATTGGTTAGATATTAATTTTCAGCAAGTATCTTAAAATTTCATTTAAAAATCCATATGCTCAATATTTTTTTGGCAGATACATCAAATACATAAAGAGTAAAGATGGCATTCTAATTAAAATATACCTACAGTGTAAAACCACCTCAGGTGAATCATATACTTAGAGCAGAAGGCAAATTAAGGCTATAGCTGAAAGAGCTCAAGTCTAGAAACACTGTGTTATCAGCTAGGACACACGAGCACACATACACACACACACACAGATACGGAGACTTTTTGTTGATTATACAGAGAGCTGTGTTAATCAGAATAGTATCTTTACACTAGCTATGCATAGTAACACAAAATTTGATTATAAACTAATTTAAAATGAAATCCCACTCATAAAGACTGGGTGACCAGCCATTTTTCCTTTAAATAAAATACGCATATTGTAAATTTGCAATTCAAAGCAGCTTTAGTGTGTCTTCTTCAACTATAAGACTAAAGCTCAAGTTTCTACAGATTCTGGGATGTCAAGATCACACATATTAAGATGAGGAATACTAAGATTAAGGACTTAAGGATATACAAGATTTGAAAACAGATCCTCAGCTCAAGTAAATCAGCTTCACTGAGTTCACCAAACAATTGCAAACCTAAATAATCTTGATACAAGCTACTGGCTCTCTGGACTTCTGGGAAACAGAGGCAGTATTTCAGTGCAGTAGATAAAACTGTCAAAACCCCTGTTTGTCCCTGAAAATAAAAAGCAATTAATTACCTGCATTCAAATCTTGCCAAGATACCAAGAAGCTGTACTGCTATGGCATACTGTTTAACATCTTTGTTTAAGTAACAGATATCTCACTGACAGAACAATTCTCTTGTGCCATTTTTGAAAACAAAACCAGGCAGCCACAGCCATGAAAGGGCAGTTCACATATTACTAATATTTCTGAACATTTTCAATAATATTGAGAAGTGTCTCAGATTAAGCATAAAAGTCATGGGGGCTTTAAAAAGAAATGTACCCAACTTTGGGGGCAGCTGAAACTGACACACTTGACCCTAAATGTACAAACTACATTGATCATAGCTCAGATGTACACAGGGATACCATTGGCACATCACTGTTCATGGCACTAATCCAAGATTAAACGGGATCATTAAGAAATCTATCACCTAACGTCTGTGCTCCTTGGGTTAGGAACAAAGCATAGTCGTCATTTAAAGCCCAGCCTGCCATGGAGCAGATTTAGAAGCATTTACCAGCAAGTACTCTTTCTAGTGAGAAGGCATTTCATAGTAGTAGACTAAAGAACACAAACACTATGCCCACTTCTTCTCTTAGGCATAGAAAACTTTGCAGCTCGCCCCTGATAAATTATGCTTTAGAAAATATGATAAACAGTAAAACGGGGAGGCAACAGGAGAGAGAAGATTATGTGAGCTAATTGATCCTTTCTGAAGTACCAAAAAGAAGTGTCTATTTCTTGTGCTGTCACTGAGCTTTTTGGCTACACAGCACCTTTTAGTGAGAAAAATGTACTTGGTGTACGGGGGGAAAAAGTGTGAAAGTCTTTGCCTGACTCCCACAGTGATCTAAGCAAAAAGCATTTAGAGATTTGCCCTTTCCACCAAGATCTGCAGAAGTTTCCATATGCCACCAAGGCATCTAAATAATTAATTGTATTCCATCCAGGAACATGGCGATGGACACCACAACTGGTCACCTGCAGAGCAGTACCTGACCAGAACCCTTAGCAGAGGTTTGAACACAGCTGGCTGCAGGGAGGAGCAGGTGCCTGCTTAGGGAGCTTCTGCCCAGCCTGTTTTCCTGCCAGCCTGGTTAACTTTGATGTCAATTTGCTGTTTCTTACTGAAACAAGTAGAGCTTTTGTGTAAGTAAGAGGATACCTAAATAAGTGCATAAAGACTACTTTGCAGACCTGAAAAGCATCTCCTTTAAATCTCTGTGTATTCACAGCTTCTTTACAGGTATTTTACAGTCAACTGTACCTTGATGTGTCCTGTACATGTCACACTCACCCTGTAAGTGTAGATCAGCTTGCACCATCAGAGCTTCAATATCTAGCAGTAACAGTTCAAGGTAAACACTGGTCAACTAGGTCTGGTCACAAGTTGTAGCCACCTAACCCACTAAAAGTCAGGGCAACAAAAATGTGAATCTGCAAAATTGAAACGTATTTTGCACCCAGCAGGCTGATGTGGCAATGAAATCAACTACAAGCATTTTGTTGGGAAGCTGTAATTGGTTGAGGAAGTAGAAAAAAGTTCCTCTGCTGGCTCTAGAAAACAGGCTCTGATCCATCCTGGGTCAGTGGACTGGGCTGTGAAACTGCATCATGGTCGTTAAAGAGCTTTACGACTGCTGATGCAATATGAGACAAAAGATGGATGGAAAAGGAAGGAGAATCATCTGAGGCAAGAGTATAAAACATGTATCAGCTTCGTATTAATCTTTTGAACAACTCAGTGAAGTAAAAAAGTAAAACTCCCTAGAAATTTACTGACTGTTTTGTGGTCTTTCTGTGCTTTATTGTTTGTCTCTTTTATAAGTTATCACCTTATTCCAGAAAAAAACACAATAATTTAAGTCTTGGTAGGAAACCCTTTCATATGTGTCATCATCACCCTCTCTTGAACACTTGACTCATTATTCCAGATTCATGCTGCTGGAAATCAATGTCATGAGCCATCCATTGTACTTCATGCTAAGGTTGAATTGACAGTCTAATGAGAGGAAAGCAGAAGCAGTGCAGCAGGGTTATTTGTATGACAAATCACAGCCAGATTGTCATGCAGTGAATACGCTGAGAAACACCTCTGCAATAAATGCTTAAACGCTTGCATATGTCTGACTCAAATTCAGGAAAATATTCTAAAAGGGAGATGATGTAAATATACTTCCATTCTTTACATGGGTTTTAAAAAGCACTCTCACTTATTTCCACTTTCTGGACTGAAACAATTCCCACCACCACCAATGCAGCAGTTAATGAGCATAAACCATACTTGCTCATTACCAATAGTACTAACAGTTACCTGCCCAGCAGAACATAACAAACATACTATTTTCAATATTTACAAAGTTGTCACGAAGTAGAAACCATAATAGCCTCTGCTGACAGCTGAGAGTGAACGAATTCTAAAAAATTGCTACTTTGCCTCATAGACACACTATCTAACAGAACCTTGCATGAAGAAGCAGATAATACATGAAGTGGGAAGATGGTAAAATGCAATTTTCTCTATCTCGTTGATTCTCCTCATATCTTTTTATAATGATTATAATATGTAATACCTGCAGTCCTTTAAGCCTTTCATGGCTTTGTGAATGTTCATTAAATAAATTCTCACAAGGCCCTTGTGTGGTAGGCAAGTAATTTTTATTTCCCTTGGTGGGAGATGGTGCAGCTAAAGCAGAAAGTTTAAATCACTTGCTCCTTATCACACAGGAATTCAGTGTCAAAGACATTTATAGAAACTGTGGCTCTCCCCTAGGTATCCCTTCATCTCTAGCTCTCAAAGCACTGAGCAAAGGATCCTTTTTCTCTCTGCTTTTACAGAAGAGGAAAACCAGAGACATTTACAGAGGTGTCTCACTTGAAGTTGCTACACAGATGGCTGCAGAGTGGGACCAAAAATTCCATGTCATGCTCCAGGGTAGTTCTTCAGCTAGGTCACCATGATGCAGCAGAGTTCTGTGCTGTCACTCTGGCTCCTCACTCTCTCAATGAATTTCTTTTGTTGAATCATCCATGTTAAACATGGCAACATTTGATTATCACCTAATATGATACTTGGATAAGAGAGCTTTTATACTCTTAGTTATAAAACCTCTAATTAGAAAGAGATTCTGTTAAAGATAAAACATATTATTTTCTGTAAAGGGGAAAAACCAAAAACAACAAAACGCCAAACAACACTAACAAAAAAAAAACCACAACAAAACCAAATCAAATGAAAAAAGCAAGGAAAAATCTTTTTTGTTTGCCAGAAATACAGCATTCTGCATAAGACTTTTAATTTATCTCCTCAAGGCAGAGGGACCAAACTCCTTAGTGCCAGTCTGTATTTACCCACAGAGGTTGGAAAGGGTCCCCACCCCAGCCTCTCTGTTCATGGCCAGTAGAAGCCTAGTTTGCTCTGGGTTTGATGCAGTCAGTGAGAAATGAACATTTGTTGTCATTAACAAAACCTGTACATTGCATTAGGAACTTCTGCATCATTATGATAAAATACTGCTTTGTGTCAGCAATAGCAACAAGAAAAACACAAACAACAAAATGGCACCTGGAGATTGCAGTGAAAGAAAAGGAAAATATTTTCTACTATTTACTGAACAAACCACTTGTTTTGTTTTGTTTTTTCCCTTTAGAACACTTTACTGCACCAGCACCTAACTTAGTACTCGTTACTGCCACTTATTTGACATGCTGAGTCACTGCCTATCTTAATCTTTTACTGAAATCAAATAAATTGTTTCCATGGAAGAAGAGCAGTGCATACCTTTGTGCCTGGAGGAGGAGCAAGACCCAGGAACGAATAAATAATATTTTCTTCTTTAGCAGAGAAAAAAGATTCAAAATCCTAAAAAAGGAGCAAACAACAGAGAGTTGGTAACAAAAATCAAACAAAAAACACAGGGGGAAGGGACTAGCCTAGGCAAATCTTTCTCGTATGGATGAGAATGACTATGACTTTGTACAAACACCTGCATTATCTAAGGCCCAGGAAGAAAACTCAGATAAAGGGAATTTCACACCAGATGGCAAAATGAACAAATGGGCAAATTTCTCCAGAGACTTACACTTCAGTGATATCACATCTATGTCTGAATCAGATAAAATGAAGCATCTCATTTTAACATGCCTCAGCTGTACACATCAAAGCAAAGCTAGTCACATTAAAATGTTAAAATAAAAACTTGCTGTGAGTAAGAACACAAAATAGGCCCTCAAAACCCTAGACAGTTTTATTGTGAATAAAAGGCAACAATCAATGTAATAACACAAGTGAAATGATAAGGAGGAAGAAAGGTACACTGGTTAGAAAAAGGAGTTACTTTTCAGGCAAACTTAGCAAAGGATAGTGTTGTTCCCTCTGACATTTATGTACCCACCAAAATGTCTTGTCCACATGTGAACTGAAGTTATACACCATTATGTTAAATGCTCATTTTCTCTTTGGTTCCAATATAACTGAAAAGACATGAGGGATGCCTCCTGTCCTACCATCTAGAACTTGCATGGTCTTTATCGTATTCACCCATGCAATTTTCCTATCAATTAAGGAAGTTCTGCTATCACTAGTTTGCTACTGGAAGTTCGTAACTCACATCTCACACACATAAAAATCAACATGTATTTGAGATCTCAACAGAAACTGTGGTCATAAGTGACCAGTCCACAATCTCACAGCAGCTCTGTGTAGGACAGGACTGAGCATATCTGCTGAGTCTTAGACTATTGCTTTGATTGAGTTACCATCCTTACTCTTATTCCACATAACTCAAAAAATAGAAGCCTGTAAATAATAAGGTGCTGACTTATCCTTAAGAATTTTTTGTAAACCTGGATTAGGATCTCAGTTTTTTTATTGGGCTGTTCTAGTATTTCCTGAGAATAAACTATTGGCCAAGGGTAATCTTAGGGAAAG